TGTGCATGAGTGTGTGTGTGTGTGCGTGCGTGCGTGCATGAGTGTGTGTGTGTTTGTGTGTGTGTGCGTGTGTGAGTGTGTGTGCGTGCGTGTGCGAGTGCGAGTGAGTGTGAGTGTGAGTGCGTGTGCGTGTGCGTGTGCGAGTGCGTGTGCGTGTGTGTGTGTGTGTGTGTGTGTGTGTGTGTGTGTGTGTGTGTGTGTGTGTGTGTGTGTGTGTGTGTGTGTGTGTGTGTGTGTGTGTGTGTAAACAGGAAATCGCAGAGCCGCTCTTCCATCTGAAGCTTGCCATGGAGCAGCTAGCGGCCAATCAGACGTTCCGCTGCATACTTGCGACTGTGCTGGCCGTCGGCAACTTTCTGAACGGCTGTAAGGTGAGAATGACTGTGTAAAAATGTGTTCACAATCATAACTGTCCCATGTGTCCAACTGTGTCCATTGCATGATGGTGTGTGTTTTGCACAGGCGAGGGGGTTTGAGTTGAGTTACCTGGGCAAACTCTCTCAGGTGAGAGACACACAAGGCCGGCAGCCTCTTCTTCATCACGTTTGTGTGCTATTGCTCCAGCTTTACCCACAATCCTCTGATCTGTACTCCGACATCACTGCTGTCACAAAAGCCAGCAAGGTATGTTGCTATGTTTTGTAGCATATTGTGCACTATGCACTGAATATGGCCTCAACAGCGAGTCATTTTTCCAGCTATATGTCCAATACTAAATAAACAGTCTTTACAAAGTATTTACCTCATGAACTTTGTTGAGAGAGCGTTCAGAGTGAATAGAGCTAAATCCATAGCTATCTAGACAAAACAGAAGCTCAAATGTGATTACTTTATTCTTTTCTGTTTAGTTTTGATTGTTTTGTTATAATTCTAAATTATGGAAAATAGTAAAATATTAAATGAGGACAAGAGCTTTGACTGGTAAAACTGCATAGACTTTTAAGTTAATCCAGATGTTTGGCTGTTTCTCAGTGACTGTGTTTCCTTTTCTTGTCTTTATCCCTCTTTTCCTGTCTCTGATTTAAACAATCACACGCTGATGGCTAGTGCGACTACACACAAGTGCAGCTGAATCTCTCGCAGCTTCAATCGCTTTGCAAAGCATCCTGGGATCAACTCCGACTACTTGAGAAAGATGGAAAGAAAGGGGGAGGAAGAAAAGAGGAAGGCAGAGAAGAGGCAACGCTCCATCAGCGGCTCACGCAGTTTCTGAAAGACTGTGAGGAGAGGTTGAAGGTGCTACGAGCCGTTCACCGCAGGGTCATCAACAGGTAAAACAAGTTAGTTACAACATTATTTAAAATCAACTCAACTCTGTAAACATGGCTGTGGTTTAACTGGACGCTATATTTATTGTACATTATGTGTATGTATGTATATATGTTTTACTGCATGCGTTTGTTGTTTTTATGTTTTATGTTAGTCATTACCTGCCAAGGGACTGCGGATGAAAATTAGCCATTGGCTAAATTCGGTACAATGCATGAAATGGAAATATTTATGTTAAAATTGTGCATTGTCCCTTTTCAAAAAAAAAAAAAATATATATATTTTTTTTTTTTTTGTCAAAAGGTTTTTACAAACAGAGACCAAAAAAAAAAATATATATATTTTTTTTTTTTTTGTCAAAAGGTTTTTACAAACAGAGACCAAAAAAAAAAATATATATATTTTTTTTTTTTTTGTCAAAAGGTTTTTACAAACAGAGACCAAAAAAAAAAATATATATATTTTTTTTTTTTTTGTCAAAAGGTTTTTACAAACAGAGACCAAAAAAAAAAATATATATATTTTTTTTTTTGGTCTCTGTTTGTAAAAACCTTTTGACAAAAAAAAAAAAAAAATATATATATATATATATATATATCTCAAACATAAATTCATGAGGTTCATCCTGGGATGCTTTTTAAGTGTTATTTATATATTTTTTTATATTTTTATTTTTACCTATATTAGTCTACAAAACCAATTTCAAGCATTTAGGTAAATTTTATATCAAACTATTTTTTAAGGTCATGCAACATAAATTCAATCAAGCTTGTCAAAACTCTTGATTGGTGTATAGTTAATTAATTAATTTAATATTATTGCATCTGATCATGCTTGCAGTAGCCAATAAGTACAAGCTTAGTGTTCAAATCCATTCCTCATCGTTTTTCTGACAATGCAGTCCATCTGGGCCTCTGAAGGTCACTGAAAAGCAAATGTAAATGTCAAAGACACAACAGTGCTCCACTTTTCGTTTTTCCTTGCATGTAGATTCCACTCGTTCCTGCTCTTCCTCGGTTACTCGCGCACCACAGCTAGAGAAACGAGTGCGGAGGTGTTTTGTAAGACCGTCAGTGACTTTGCTCTGGAGTACAGAGCCACTCGCAGTGCTATCCTTCAACAGAGAGAGCGAGAGAAGGAGAGAGAGAGGGAGAAGCACAGTCACAACACACCTAAACTCAAACCCAGACTCCAACAAACCCTGTCTGATGTAAGTAAAGCGCGCTTTTCTCAAATAAGGGCCTGAAACGCTACTTTTCATTCTAGGTTAATTTGATGTATAGCCTACTTAAATGTTGCATATTTAATTCTATGTATATTTAAATAATACTTTATCCATCAAATGTGCAAGTTCTTACATCTCGCAAGAAGTAGGCCAATGCATGGATCTGTAAGTGAATTCGTTTTATTCAGGAAGCTACGTATAATGATGGATAACTTTCTTTCACTGAAGGAGAATCAGGAGCAGGAGAAACTTGAGGAGGTTTTGAAGACTCCTGAATCATCGCCTTTCCACTTTGGCTTCACTCTTCCACGACAACGCAGCAAGTCGAGTGACACAAAAGGTATTATAATTGTTGCCACATCCCTCAGTTGCATTCAAATAAAAAAATTGATGATATTTACAGATACTAAGGATTGTTTTGTTCCAGGTTGTCACTCCCGAAGGCTGAAGTGGTGAACGCCAATCCTCATTCCTCTAAAAGTGTAGCTCATTGACTCATTAGCTTGTCAACTATATTTTTGAGTTTGGAAGCAAAACTTGAAATGACGTCTGTTTTTTGTCAATTCTTTTGCATTGTTGGCAAGCTGACACAAATCTCAGTAACTCTGAGGCTTGGAGTCAAAAGTCAGTGATTTTGCATGCTGAATTGTTGCTGTTCATGAATTGTTTTGTTTCATTATTGTTTTAATGCTTAAAATATGCTTGACAAACCCATTAAGTTTCCATTCTGACAACTTACCCCGTATATTGTGACAACATCACCTGACTTGCCTTTTTATACATTAAATATTACATTAACGGTACAGTGGTATTTAAACTACAATGTTTTTGCATTATTTTCGCCATAATTTCCTGTGATTCAGATGTATTCAATAAAATTGTGATTAACAATGATCTTTCAATGGCATTGTGTTACAAGTAACTGTTTAGTAATTTACATTTGTTAGTTAAGTTTATACTTTTAATGTTTTTTTTTTTTGTGCTAATGGTTTACAGATGCTTGAAACTCAAAATACTATTGTGAATTACAACAGTATTAATAATACAGTATTTCCTAAAGTGTTTTCAGAATATTTTAGCCACTTAAATTGGTTTACTTTTAATGACAGGGCAATTTACCACGTTTTAAATTAGTAAAAATAATTATTTTGTTACAACATATAATACATTTTTGTAACTTTATTTCAGATTTAACGAACTGCTAACTGTATTATGGGATTAAAGTTTTTGTAAAGACATTAGCACTCTGAGGGAAGATGCCGCGAACCAAATCCTGCATTCATTCACCAATCAAACGCGGACTTTATTTAAAAAGATAGACGTACAAGAGAATGACGCGTAAATCCACCAATCAACTCCACGTGTTTCTTCAGCGCGTTGAAATGTAGCCAATGAGATGCGAGTATGTGTGGAGCGGGGCGGGGCTTGTTTCCGGTGCGTATTTGCTCGACGCCATTTCGTGCATTCGTCTGTTGGTCGGTGTCTACTGAACGAGCTGGTACGGAGTGTATCCACAAAACAGTACAGCACCGAATTTTAATCATTTTTAATCTTAAACTCCCGGTGAGTATTTTGATTCGAGAGATTTTTGTCGCTTTTTTTTAAATTTTTGACTGATTTTGAACTATCTTTGGAGAATTTTTTTTGTGTTTTTTTTTTTTTTAATGCATTTTTCTGGTCATTTTCTGCTTGGCTTTGGTGGCGTACATTTTGTGATGCCGTTGGTAGAGCAGTGAAAAAAGAAAACAAAACATATGCTTTGAGAGGACCGCACGATTTTTATTTTATTTTTCAAAGTAGGAGTTATTTTTCACCTCATTTTTTGCAGGACTACTGCTAGAGCAGCTGGTTTGTTTGATTTTTGAAGTTAATGTGGAGGAAATTGCTCATATGGACCGGTGGTTGTGTTTTCAAGATGGGGTCGTTTTTCCCTCCATGTCCAGGATTCAGAATAAAAACGCGTTTTAAGTCCATTTTTAACATGACAGACTGATTTTCTCAACAGGAGTAGACTATTTTTATTCGGCTGTAGACATTTGGAGTGAGCTTGTCCTTTTTAATACGATTATTTGCACGTTATTTTTGCTCTTATTTTTGAGGGTCGTTGTGATCCAGTCGTTTTTTTTTCAGGGGACGTTTTTGCAGGTTTTGAATTGTTTTCGGCACTTTTAATGGACTGAGAAAACACGTTTTCCGTCTCATGCAGTAATATCAGTGCATGGACCACTTAACACTTTTTACATTTGCACCCCATGTCTGTGCAAAATCATGTAAACGGTCAATCTTTCCATTAAAAGTACATCAAGGATGTTGAATTGAGCTGGTTGCATTAATATTAAATAAATGTTTGAAGAAGGCCCAGTGGGCCAAAGAAAGTATTACTGCCTTTGCTCAAGTGCTCAACTGCCTCATGCTGTATGTGTTCAAAATTGCATCATATTTGTGTGTATTCCCAAAGTTCAGCCCATTAAACTCATATAGCTGTCTTGTAGAATGTCTTAAAGAAATGAAAATTATATATGTATCCCCCCTCACCCACACGGACTGATTCATTTAAGACTTGAACAATATGTTCAATGCAATTTCACATTAGAAAGTGGTTTAATTTTGCTCTGTCTTCTTTCTATGCTTGATGTAGAATATACAAGTATTTCTTATCTTGTCTTCAGTAAATGTGTATCTTGTATGACTATGTGAAATGCACCAAATCATGTCCCCCTCACAGTTGCCCACTAGGCACACATCCAATATCATATTCCAACTAAAGTCTGGTTTGTTTTTAGCTGTAATATGTGTAGATCACGGGTTCCCAAACATAAGAATCATACACACGCCAATATATTGGGTATAACCAACCTATCCACCACTTTTATTAATATTTCTTAAGTTTTATGATTAATCTTACCATTTCTTTACCAAGCATTTGACTGTAGAAGACAAGTTGGAACATATATAAATAATTGTGTATATATTGTAATTGAGTCAGTTTCTCGGCTTTTTTACACCATAAGCAAGTGTTGCAATGTGACTGGATGATAAGAATGGTGTGAACAGTGAAGTTTAATGAAATGGGGGTGATCCAGTGCTATTGCATTTGCCTGTTTTGTTGCAGAATATTCGACTCGCACTTTGGGAAACCCTGGTCTAGACTAAACACTGCATGCTAACGTTGATGCCTTTACAACATGCACATTTTGCTCTAAAGTCATGGAGGTCACATTTCTATTCTCAAGTCCATATTTTACACCAAATTTGTGAAAACAAATCAGTTTTCACAAAGATTACTTCTATAATGTTGATCTTGGGTCTGTCGACCCTAAAGTAATCGGTTGTAAAAAAAAAAAAACATTTTCCCTGCTTTAGAGAGCTAAAGATGTTCCTTTCTGATTTTATTCATTTTGCTTTTTTTTGTAGATTTTGAGGCAGCTTTTTTTGAGCCACGTCAATCCATAAGTTGGTTTTTCTTTTATTCTCCACTTCTGCCAATCTTCCTGAAAAGTGTTTTATGCAGACTAGACTCCTGTTTGCTGTGTGTAGCCTTTACCTTCTTCCATTACCTTTAAAAATGCCCTAGAGTAAATATCTTCTAAATAGTCTGTAGACTTGTGGATTTTTTAAAGATTTCATAGTTCATGGTCTAAATCAGCTTCAGCAAACAGCGTTTTTGCAGGTTTTGAATTGTTTTCGGCACTTTTAATGGACTGAGAAAACACGTTTTCCGTCTCATGCAGTAATATCAGTGCATGGACCACTTAACACTTTTTACATTTGCACCCCATGTCTGTGCAAAATCATGTAAACGGTCAATCTTTCCATTAAAAGTACATCAAGGATGTTGAATTGAGCTGGTTGCATTAATATTAAATAAATGTTTGAAGAAGGCCCAGTGGGCCAAAGAAAGTATTACTGCCTTTGCTCAAGTGCTCAACTGCCTCATGCTGTATGTGTTCAAAATTGCATCATATTTGTGTGTATTCCCAAAGTTCAGCCCATTAAACTCATATAGCTGTCTTGTAGAATGTCTTAAAGAAATGAAAATTATATATGTATCCCCCCTCACCCACACGGACTGATTCATTTAAGACTTGAACAATATGTTCAATGCAATTTCACATTAGAAAGTGGTTTAATTTTGCTCTGTCTTCTTTCTATGCTTGATGTAGAATATACAAGTATTTCTTATCTTGTCTTCAGTAAATGTGTATCTTGTATGACTATGTGAAATGCACCAAATCATGTCCCCCTCACAGTTGCCCACTAGGCACACATCCAATATCATATTCCAACTAAAGTCTGGTTTGTTTTTAGCTGTAATATGTGTAGATCACGGGTTCCCAAACATAAGAATCATACACACGCCAATATATTGGGTATAACCAACCTATCCACCACTTTTATTAATATTTCTTAAGTTTTATGATTAATCTTACCATTTCTTTACCAAGCATTTGACTGTAGAAGACAAGTTGGAACATATATAAATAATTGTGTATATATTGTAATTGAGTCAGTTTCTCGGCTTTTTTACACCATAAGCAAGTGTTGCAATGTGACTGGATGATAAGAATGGTGTGAACAGTGAAGTTTAATGAAATGGGGGTGATCCAGTGCTATTGCATTTGCCTGTTTTGTTGCAGAATATTCGACTCGCACTTTGGGAAACCCTGGTCTAGACTAAACACTGCATGCTAACGTTGATGCCTTTACAACATGCACATTTTGCTCTAAAGTCATGGAGGTCACATTTCTATTCTCAAGTCCATATTTTACACCAAATTTGTGAAAACAAATCAGTTTTCACAAAGATTACTTCTATAATGTTGATCTTGGGTCTGTCGACCCTAAAGTAATCGGTTGTAAAAAAAAAAAAACATTTTCCCTGCTTTAGAGAGCTAAAGATGTTCCTTTCTGATTTTATTCATTTTGCTTTTTTTTGTAGATTTTGAGGCAGCTTTTTTTGAGCCACGTCAATCCATAAGTTGGTTTTTCTTTTATTCTCCACTTCTGCCAATCTTCCTGAAAAGTGTTTTATGCAGACTAGACTCCTGTTTGCTGTGTGTAGCCTTTACCTTCTTCCATTACCTTTAAAAATGCCCTAGAGTAAATATCTTCTAAATAGTCTGTAGACTTGTGGATTTTTTAAAGATTTCATAGTTCATGGTCTAAATCAGCTTCAGCAAACAGGCCTAAACCACATGCTAGAGTTTGCTAAACCACTCCTAGAGAGAATCCAAACCTTTGACAATGAGGTCTAGCCTAATTTTTGGATTAATGGTAGTGTACTAAAGAGGACAATTCTAACTTTGTGTACTAGTGCTTTATTACTTCTAATTTAAATGTATTTCTGTTTTTCCCAGTACAGTTGTGTTCTAGATGAGTGCAAGATGAAACAAGTCTTGCCATGATAGATTGTTGTAGATAATTTCAAGAACACGCATCTAAATTTCACATTTAAAACATTGATTTCCCATGAACTATCATTAAGATTCTAAATTATCAATGTTTACACTATTGAATCTTCAATTGGCAGGGGTGAAAACAAGGGTAATTGTAACATAATTTGCTTTTGACTTTGTGTAATGCTGATAATGAAATATTGAGACATTGAAAAAGTCTTGACTAGTCCTTAAATTGCTGAAGCAAAGGTAGCTGTTATTGTGCAACTTATACCAATTATAGAAACGTACAGGGCCTAATTTACCTTAAATTTGTGTTTTTTTGTCCTGCTATCTATCATAGTGCCTGAGGAGATTTGGATATTTTAATTTGCATTGACCTCTGACTCGCTGTATAATTGGCCCGTAGTGACGGCTTCACCTGCTTTCATCCCTATAAAGCTGAAATTTCCTACACACACTGATATTAATCTTTTTGTTCAGCTATAATACAGACTTAATGGTGTGTCTTAAGCTGTGCCGAGAGCTTCTTTTAATAGACCTTTTTAATCTCTTGACGGTGGTGTGAAAGGTCTTTTTTTCCATTAGCGTAGGATTTGATTGTGTCACATGACCGGGAAACGTGTCTCTATTTGACACTGAAAATGTTCCCTTAAATTAAAGGGTTTTAGTTAGGGATTATGTGACATTGAGCATGTTTAAAACGTTATGGTGACATGGCTGTTCTGTTTCACTTGGGATATCTGTCTGGATTTAATTTTCTTTGCTTGTGTATATCAACCACTGGGTGGCAGCATCCAAACACTAGACTGCTTGTTTGACCTTGGGAAAGTGTTGAGATTGGTGTGATGTCTGTGAAAGTGCCGTGGGTTACATCACCCACCCACACAGTACGACCTTCACCCACAATGCACTGCTGAGCAGCAGCTCAATGGTGTCCAATAACAACCCTCTTCTCTCCAACAGAATCAGGCAGGCAGACGACTCGACCTGAATTACAGACAGAATGGAGTGAGTTCTGACTATTCAACCCCCAACATCCCCTTTAGCACACTTAGCTCAATGTGCACGTTATGTGGTGGTCTTGTAGGCCGTGTGTCCCAAAAGCATCCAAAAATGCCACCAAAACACTGCCCAGTCCAACTCAAACATACCAGTTTACCCCTCAGACAAGTAGTAAGCACCGAAAGCGATCCACACACACAACCAGATCCATTTTCCTCAGTGAATTCACTGTTTTGTGCATTTCCACCCATTTTACTCTGTCAAACCCATAAGCAAAGCAATATTATAATGCCTCTGTATTTAAGCTTGAATGCAGCAGGCGGTTAGTTTCACTTCCGCATTTTAGTTTGCATGTGTGAAATCTCAGCTGGCCATACATTACGACATTACCTGCCCAGCCCTGGTTCATACAGATATATACTTCATCCCGTGACACATTTGACCGTCAAACTGCTTAAAACTACAACATAAACGCCAGTCTAGTTGATATGTGAATCTTCAGATTTTAATTGTATATCTATGCACATTATAGCACAGGAAAGCTTCATATATGACTGCTGTGGCTCTTATTTTAAATATACTAGGTGATATACCTTATGAAACTAATGTATACTTTATCTTGATGGTTACAAACTGTATATATCTTGAAATGTTTGTTCTTCCCCCAAATGTCTTGCACTGTGGTAATGTTCAAAATAATGGACTAATTGAAAAATGTTTATGTATTGATCTTCTTGTGGTTCTATTTTAAAGTGTGAGAAAGTCAACATGAACCCAAAATTGGCTCGCATTTATTTTAAAGTAATACATGTGTTGAATCACTTACAATAAGACCAGAAACATGTAATTATGAAAGTAAAATGTGTTGCGGATACCGTTTCATGTTGACTTTAGATTTCTAATCTAAAGAAGATTTCTAATTTTTTTTTTCTAATCCATTTTCACTAGCTATGTTTCCATCCACATATTTGTATGCACATTTTGAGATATCACAAAAAATTGCATGTACATACAACCTTAAAATGCACCAAAAAAGAAAAGTTTTTAATCCAATTGGAAGACATGCACGCAAACGCCAATAGAAACACATTTACTGAACAAATTCCTCGAAGCGCAACAAAAACTGATCACGTGATTGGATAACTGGACTAACTAGCAGACCAATCGCGTTGCACATAATCTAAAATATTGTTTTAGTAATTCTGAAATGCCTGAGCCAAAGTCTGTAATCAAAATGATTATGTATGATGGTTTGGTACATTTACCTCCCAGAACTGTAATGGTTGTGTTAACCAAACATCAGGCCAAGATTTCATGGCGGCGGTTGCTATTGCATTTTGTCTGTTGCATTTGCAGCAACTTCCATTTTTAGCACTGATATGTTGTGCAGATTTCCCAGAAAGTTATGTTTTTGTTCTTTTGAACACATGGAATGGAAACGGTGCTTTAGTTTCAATTGGTTCGTGCAAAATTAAAATTTTTCACAAGTTAACTTCGCACTTTGGATGGAAAGGTAGCTATCGAGGCTAGTAATGTTGTTATAGACATGCTAATTTCTCATTTGTCCTTCCTGTCTCTGTCAATCTTCTGCACCCCCTTTATTCCTCTCTTTTTGCCCAGTCATTCCCCCACAACCAGCAGCCTGATGGCCAGCAACGTCACCAACAAGACGGATCCGCGTTCGCTGAACTCCCGGGTCTTCATCGGGAACCTCAACACCATGCTGGTGACCAAGGCCGATGTGGAGGCCATCTTCAGTAAGTACGGTAAGATCGTGGGCTGCTCCGTGCACAAAGGCTTCGCGTTCGTCCAGTACGCCAACGAGAGGAACGCCAGAGCGGCAGTCGGGGGTGAAGATGGGAGGATGATCGTCGGACAGGTGCTCGGTAAGTAGAGTAACGTCGCACTGTGAAGATCTCTTTGATGCAGGTCATTGTAAATCTCAGGTTCATTTCTTACCTTTTGTTACCCGAGGACGCTACAATCTTAAAGCTGCAGTCTGTAAGTTTTGCCTCTTTGTCGCCATCTCTGTTTGAAACCAGCAATTGCAGTTATTTGCTGAATTATTTTCTTTACGTGGGTTGTGCATCAGCGTGGAAATACAGATAATACGTCTTGGAAGTATGTCCAAAATAAACTTTCACTGGAAAATGTCATCTGAACAAGTAAAATGTCTGCCAGTTTTGTTCTGACCAACTGAAAAAAAAAAAAAAAAAGTTTTACAATAAATCATGCTACCAATGCTGATTAAATCTAACGATTGCTTAGCTCACGTCAAACCGTGCAAATTATTATTATTGTTATACTTTGTTCTCAAATTGTTAATGTTAACAACATCAGCATTGCGTGACTACATGTATTTAGTGTATATTAGCATTATCTGTAGATTTCAATTTCTGTAAAGTCTAATCTCTAATTGGCATACTATTCGAATGTCATCGAAAGAAATTGTTCTTTTAACCTCAAAAAGCTATTTAATGTTGCTTACAACTCGTTCTATAATGACAAGTTTAATTATTCCAGCTGCTGTGAGAAAAGACTATAAATGATCTGCCACCTGCAGCATCCACACACGCGATTTAGCCTACTATCCGGGACTCCTCTGTGTTTACCGACGTGACGTAATGACGCAGCGCCATGGTCGTATTTCCCAGTACCACTTAAATTATAAAACATGATTACATGCTTACCGTTGTGAATCGGGTTAAGATAAGGAGATTTTTAACACTGGCTGGTTATGTACTTGCTCAAAAATATTTACAGACTGCAGCTTTAAAGTTAATCCAAAGTCCTTTTCAAGGCCCTATTTGCAATGCCTCCAGGCATGCGAGATCAACTCTTATCTACTTGAATGGCAAAATAATGAAATCTCAAAAACTGCAGGCCAAACTCGCATTTAAATAACAAATTTGAAATCGGCAAGTAAATCCAACATGAATTGCCCCATAAATGTTGTCTTCTATCTTCAAATTGGTCCAGGCAATGCACATGTGCGATTCAAAATGCGTCATCTCGGGTCTATTTCTAAAGGATCTGGCAGCTTGTAATGGCAGCTGCAGTGATGCGATGACATAACCAATTGGCGATTGGCTGTTTTACTTAGAAGGCGGGACTTATTCTGTCATATTTCACGTTGCACTTCCGTTCATATTATTAAGAGAGCCACCTTATATATGCAGTCTTTGGTTATCTCACAAAATCTGTCAAGAATGTGTCCACCAAAAATCAAAAGAATAAGGAATTATATATATTATATTTCGTTTAAATACTTTTTATTTTATTTTTTTTATTCTGACATAATTATGCGGATTTAGCATGCTTTCATCCAAATTCTCATTGGTGTAATATGGAAAAAAAATTATTTAACTGTCATACTGAGTAATAAAAAAACCTGCAGTCACAATGACAAATCTTAATCTAAGAGTATTCCTAATTTTTTATGCAATTTTATGCATTTTTAATTGTATTATTATTATCGTTTAATTGATTTCCTTGAATTTTAGGGGGGAAATATGCCCTGGCTATGTTTTTGCAATATTTACCCAGATTTGGATAATGTAGAGGGGAAATGGGATCAAGAAATTTCCACGATTTCTTTAATTTGACCAAAGTCTGAACTCTAAGCAAATTGAAATTTTTGACGACGTGTTGCTGTTTTGTGTCCTAATGTTGTAAATATGGCCATTCCAAAGTTATTTGAATGGATCTGTTTGCTCCAGTGTAATAGTTCAAATAAGAATTGTTTTATAATGTTTTAGATGTCTGTTAAGTTTCTCCCTGCTTACGTATACAATCACCTTTTTTTTTGTGGTTACATTTTACATTAATTTAGCAGATGCTTTTATCCAAAGTGACTTGTCTCGTGACCACTAGGCCACAATGTACATTTTTTGTGTGTATGTGCAATCTTTCTGCATTTTTAGATATTAATCTGGCTGGTGAGCCAAAACCTCATCGTTCAAAGACTATCAAACGCTCTGCGGGAGATATGTACAGGTTTGCGTTTTATATTTTTCATTCTATTGTTATTTATTTTTAGGGGTAAAAATACTTCCACATGTTAATCATTGAATTGTTTTCTCCTCCAGCAGTTCTTCATTTGATCTGGACTATGACTTTCAGAGAGATTACTATGACAGGTGAGTTCTCCTTACAGATTCACTGATCAAACGCTTTGCAAAGAGCTTTTATTATTTTTATTATTATTATTATTATTATTATTATTCATGAAAGGCTTTGAATGTCTGTCTGAACTGGGATTGCATGATTCCAGGAACGTGTGTTAATCTGAGTGTGTGTTTTCAGGATGTACTCGTACCCGTCGCGCGTTCCCCCTCCTCCTCCTCCTCCTCTCTCGCGGGCGGTGATTCCCTCCAAACGGGCGCGAGTGAGCGTGAGCGCTGGCGGCAGCCGCAGGACCAAAACCAGCTTCTCCTCCAAGAGCAGCCAGCGCACGTCCCGCACCAGTGAGACACACTTCTTTTCTGCTATATTCTCCATTTTATATATCCTATTTTTTTTGTCTTTCTTTTTTTACAATTCTTATTTACTTTTATTTTCTATGTTCACTACTTAAAATGTTTTTAGTATCTTAATATATATATTATAACTATAATATTCTAATATATATATATATATATATATACTGTGTATATAAGTCAAAGGTTTGGAACTTTTGTTTTTGTTTTTGAAAGACCGGTCTTATACTCTTTGGCCTGCATTTATTTGAACAAAAATACAGTAAAAGCAGTGTTATTGTACAATATTATTACCATTTAAAATAACTGTATTCTATGTGAATTAATTTTGAAATGTAATTTATTCCTGTGATCAAAGCTTCAGCATCATTACTCCAGTCTTCAGTGTCACATGATCCTTCAGAAATCATTCTAATATGCTGATTTGCTGCTTTATTTATTAAAATTATTATTATTGGTGCTCCGTTATTAAGAATGGTTCTTTATTATAGTCAGTATTGAAAATAGTTTTTCTGCTTGATTATTTTTGTGGAAAATTTTTTATTTTTTCCAAGATTCTTTGAACAAAATTCAAAAGAGCAGCATTTATTTTAAACGGTAATGTTTTGTATCATTATAAATGTCTTTACTGTCTCTTTTAAACTATTTAATGCATCCTTGTTGAATAAAAGTATTAATTTTTTTTTTTTTTTTTTTAAATCTTACCCAAACTTTTTTTTTTCACAAATATGAAGAAGCGCAGCTGTTTTCAATACTGCACATCAGCAGCATATTAGAATGATTTCTGAAGATCATGTGACACTGAAGACTGGAGTAATGATGCTGAAAATTCAGCTTTGATCACAGAAATAAATTAGTTTAATGTACAGTATATTCAGATAGAAAACAGTTATTTTAAGTTCTAATAATGTTTCACAATATTACTGTTTTTAATGCATTTTTTATCAAATGAATGCAGCCTTGGTGAGCAAAAGAGACTTCTTTCAGAGACATTACAAAATCTCACCAGCAAACTTTTAAAGAGTAGTGTACATTTGGATGACTCAAAGTCTCAGCTGTTTAGTAACCACCATTCATATCCCTGTGTGTGTTCAGTGAGAGCTGACGATCTGCAAACCATTAAGAAAGAACTGACTCAGATTAAACACAAAGTGGACTATCTGCTGGAGAGCCTGGAGCGCATGGAGAGAGACCACAGCAAGAAATCCGGTACAGGCCATAACACTACCGACCAAACACAGCAACACTAGTCATTTCTGATCACTCTCCCCTCATGTTTCTGCACAGAGGCAAAGAGCTCTAAACCAGATGAAGCCTCACCGCAGCACTCCAGCGGGAAGAAAGAGCGCGAGAGCACGGAAATGAACGACTACGAGGACGAGGGAGACCTGCTGGAGGAAGAGGAGGTGAGTGAAGGAGAAACAACAGCGGCAGAAATCACGTAATCATTGACTCGCTCGTATTCAGAGAAGCAGCCAGAGACTCACCGCGCCTTCAAAAAAATCCAACTGAAGTGCGTGGACCAAAAAAGGTTACCCAAAGATGAAGAGCTTGAAAAGAGTCCGCACATTCAAACATTAAAGCATCACAAGCGAGATGAGAACGATATATGCAATTTACTGAATAAAACAAGGCAAATGTTTCGGTCACATGTTGACCATTGGCATTGAAAATGGTCAACATGTGACCGAAACGTTTGCCTTGTTTTATTCAGTAAATTGCATATATCGTTCTCATCTCGCTTGTGATGCTTTAATGTTTGAATGTGCGGACTCTTTTCAAGCTCTCGCTCGTATTCACCCATCGCCTTGGGTTTGTGCAGATCAAGAGTCGAGGAAGGGAGGATGACGAGGAGGAGGAAGAAGAGGGTGAGCAGGAGGAAGGAGAGGATGATGGAGACAGCGCCAATGGAGACCATTCTTAAATGTGACCGATACGGACACGCATGCATGCTCACCATGAGATATAGAGTAGATCCTCTGACCTTTAATGCACCCTTAGTTTTATTTTCGAAGTCCAGAACAATGGCTAAGACTCATCATGAAAATGAATCTCTGCTTTACAAATGACTCTCGGTCGCACGAACCCCCGACTTCAGCCACCGTACTCCGAGATCTCGTCATTCTTGACCAAATCTGCATTAAAATAAATTAACGTTTTCTGCTTTAGGATTGAGAAACTACTTTTGATTGCAGTGGAATCCCTTCATTGATGTGACATTGAACATATTAGTAGTAACTTTACCATGCTAAGCTGTTTTAATACTGCCAACCCAAAAGCTTGAATGTGTTTGCATAATATTTGGAGGAGGAGGAACTACTTAGTGCTATGATTGGGTTTTACCAAAACTCGTATAGGTTGTGCTTAGATGAAGGTTAGTAGTTTTGTAACTTGACAAGCTATTAAAGACAAACTCCGTATTTGTGTGGATATGCATAATCAACATCCTGAATGACTAATGTTGGTCTGCTAGTGTGATTGACACATTGGTGAGCCAATCAGAATGCATCGCTCCTAAAGAGACACTAACATGCATTTTGTACATTTAACCTTGTTTATTGGTTTGCACCAATTGGATTGTAAAGCCTAGAAAGCAATGGCTTTCCCACTCCAGGCACGTCCAGGTCCTTCTCATTTGGTGTTTTAAGATCTTAAACCGCTGCATGAGTTACGGTGGTGATAATGGTGGCTGGAGTTTGGGAATGTTCTGCCATGGTCTTGAGGTCACTCGCACTTTTAACCGGCCTGTGCAGACCAATATTGCACAGATGCGCTCAAATACACGTGAATGTCTGACTTTACCAATGCTTTTCTTGATTCTTGTGGTTGTGAGACCCTTCCGTGCAGGGTTCTGTTAATCGTCATCGTCTTCCCCAACACATACTAGACGATTATTAGATAATTTTGGCTCAAAATAGTCTCTGATTGCTCTCCAGTTGAGTCCCGAAGCTTTTGACGGACTTTAGTCCCCAAACCCTGAACTATCTGAACTCATCCAGCAGGAGTTAATTTGTTTGCGTCGGTTCAGGCACTGCAATGTTCCTCTAGGACTCCTTTTGGAAATAAATGTAGAGTTGCTCGTCCTGACCAGTGGGCGGCAGTGTGGCCCAGTTCTGTTATTTAACCTCTCAGAAATACTGATTGATTGAACCGTTTTATATTCCATATTGGGTCACTGTGTGTGAAAAAGTTCGGATTGTACAGTCAATGTTATTTTACCCGTCGGTTTGTATCTGTGTACAGTGACACTAAGAGTTTGCTTCTGATAAATACAAGCTGTGTTTGTTGCCATTTCGTTTTAATTTGTTCCGTTTCTGTTTTCTGTTTGGTCTGTGTAATAAGTTTCAATAAAACTACGTGTTAATGACATGTTGGCTCTTATTGTAAGAATCTGGAACAAATACTATGATAAACCGCTTCAGAATCTTCAGCTAAATGGTGCACAACCCTTTGAATGTTGTTGCATGCTATTGAATGTTTGTTTAGGATGTGAGTTGTATAGTAGGGTTAAGACTAGGTTTAGACAAACAGGTCTAGACGCATCTCTTTTTTTTTTATGAGATTGTTTTTCACATTCATCTTTAACATTCATCTTTTGATCTGTCTGTCGCTGCAACATTAGAGGACCTGTTAAAACACAACCCAAACCGCTCAAAACACTTTCTGTTTCGGCCTCAGGAGTCTGTGAACCTGTCGACCCAAAATGTGGCAGAACCAGATGAAAGATTACCATAGTATTTACATGGTGCTCTGTGGTTATCTAGCGAATGCTTTAGAGTTCAGGTGCTGATTGTATCTGTTGAGTATCTTATTCTCCATTTCAGTTTTCTTAGTGTTAAGTTTGTGATCCGTCGTTCAAACCCTTTAGTGTCACCAACTGTGCAAAGTTGGTTATGGTGATAGTTAACAATTTGACAGTTTTTTATTTTTTATTTTTTTACGCTATTCTCAACCAATTCGCTTACATGCTGTTTTTTTGTTTGTTTTCTTTTTCCCCACTCAGTCCAGTCTTCAAGTCGTTTTCAGGACAAACCTCAAATTAGTTTTATTTATTCACTTACCTAGGAGCCAAACAGAATGGGCTGTATCTTATGAACGCTGTGACCTATTGATATGAAATTTTGTCATTTCCATCATGTCTTTAGGGTTTGTGCCAAATATCAAGTTAATATAAATATATGCAGCTCAAGTCTACTTAGTTTTATAGTGTGTGCAGCTAGGTGATATCGAAATCACGATCAAATTTGTGGATAACGATGATATAGCTCTGGATATTTTTACTCAATATGGATTAATCTAACAGGCGATGAAAAAAAAAAAAAAAAAAGTCTGGTTTAACTTGAACAAATTATGACAGAAATATATTACTATAGCATAAAATATAATTATGAAAGTAATAATATAATTTTAAGGATTATCATACAACAAATGTATTTTTTATTGTCTTGCTTGACAATAAAAATGCGATGTTTTGTTGTAAATTTAATTAAAAAATAATGATCAAACGCTTTAAAGGTGGGGTATGTATTTTTTCAAAAAAGCTTTAGAAAACTGAGTCTGGCCGAGTACCAAAACAAACTTGTAGCCAATCAGCAGTGAAGGGCGTGTCTATGTGTCATGATGTGGAGGAGAGAGCGCTCAGTGCACAGGATGGACATTAGCCGAGCGACGGAAAGATAGAGATGGCGTATAAAAAAAAAAGAGGAAGACGTCTGAAAATGTCGAACAAAATGCTTACGATAAAGCAAGAAGTAGGACCCGTGTAAATATCGGATCAGCTTTCCAGCGCTGGAGAGAACTCAAGGAGCGGAAGGCCTGCTTTTTCAAAAACACTTTAGAAAACTGAGTCTGGCCGAGTACCAAAACAAACTTGTAGCCAATCAGCAGTGAAGGGCGTGTCTATGTGTCATGATGTGGAGGAGAGAGCGCTCAGTGCACAGGATGGACATTAGCCGAGCGACGGAAAGATAGAGATGGCGTATAAAAAAAAAAGAGGAAGACGTCTGAAAATGTCGAACAAAATGCTTACGATAAAGCAAGAAGTAGGACCCGTGTAAATATCGGATCAGCTTTCCAGCGCTGGAGAGAACTCAAGGAGCGGAAGGCCTGCAATCGGATGCCGAGGTTGCTTTGTTTCTTCTCGATAGGTGAGTAACACTGTGTTTACACCGGACGTGACAGTTGTCGCACCGTGCCGCAACAGCTAAAGTCTGTCTAGTACACTGGACGCGATAAAGCGACCACTGAAAATCATTTGAAATTTGTGCCAATACTTCATAAATAAAACACAACAGCAGTTTTCTGTCTGGGATTTGTCGTCGTGCCACGCCGCATCCAGCGTACAGAGCATCACTGATTATGAGTTCTATAGTATTTTGTCGCGGCGCACCGCTCGCATCCGGTGTAGACACGGTGTATCATTGGTTTTGCTTTGTTTCACAGAGCTAATCGTTGCCTGGGTTGCATACGTATGTGTGGGGCGTAGCTGTCAAAATAGGGGCAAGACCCTTTTGGGGTAGGGGCGTGTTTGTTTTGGTTATTTAAAATATCCACATTGGCTACCAGAAATCACTTACCCCACCTTTAAGATTAATTTATTTATTTCATTAGACACCATGTATGTGATAAATTTGTACTGAATCATAAAATACAGAAACCTATGGAAGCCCGTTTCCGTCACAGAATAAAACATTTAAAAAAGTTATTGTGGCTTTTTATCTCAATTCTGACTTTTTTTCACAGAATTGCGTGATATGAACTCACAATTGCGAGTTCTGAAGTCAGTATTGCGAGATGCAAAGTCAGAATTGCGAGTTTATACTCGCAATTCTGACTTTTTTTCTCGCAATTGCGAGTTTATATCTCACAATTTTGACTTTCTCACAATTCTGACTTTATAACTCGCAAATTTGAGAATATATCGCAATTCTGACTTTTTTTTCCCTCAGAATTGCGAGTTTATATCTCGCAATTATGACTTTTTTTCTCGCAATTGCAAGTTATAAAGTCAGAATTGCGAGTTAAAGTCCAATTTTGAGGGGTGGGGGGACTGATATGTTCTCAGAATTGCGAGTTTATATCTCACAATTATGAGAAAAAAAGTCAGAATTGCGAGATAAAAAGTCGCAATTACCTTTTTTTTTTTTTTTATTCAGTGGCGGAAACAGGCTTCCATAGAAACCTGAGAAAATAAAATGGGGGAAAAAAAGTAATTTAGAGGAAAATAAAATGAATTTCACAACAGGGCCCTAAATTAAAGGAGTTCAATTTGAACAAAGTTATGTTTACATTTATTCTCAAGGTCTTACAAACATGTGGAAAGTATTTCCTTCCCCATTAACAGTAAAGGAATATCGTGATAAATATCGATATCATATGATATGGAAAAAATATTGTGATAATATTATTGGCCATATCACCCGGCCCTATGTGTCCCTGTAAATGTTCAGTTTCATTAGTTGTTTTGTCTCCTCGTTTTACTTTTTTTTTTTTTTTTCTCCCCCAAGTTTCATCAAATGAGTTTCATGATCTGAGGCCATGGACAGAATAACATCTGATGGCAGGTAATTTAAGTGAATTTGCTTTTGCACAACCTTTGGTATACCTGTTATATCACAGCGAAACTGAGCAACGTGAAACAGACTAATATGAAATTAATTCTCAGTTCAATTGAATTAAATGGGGATCACTCTGTGCCGTTCTTCTGGCTCTTTGGAAGCAGACAGCCGCAGGAACAATCAAACGAATTGAATTGGGGAGACACATCTGCTCGATTTCAAACACGGCGAGTGAATGAGGTCCAATGAAATGAAGATTAAGAGAACACTTACTGCGTGACACATGCCACAGATGGAAGAACGGCATGCCAGCCAGACACGAATATTCATTAATGAAGCATTCTCTCTCTCTGTGTGTGTGTGTGTGCGCTGCACATCTGACGCCTCACTGCTCACAATCATTCCAGTGCAGTCCATCCATCCATCCATCCATCCATCGTTTGTCTGTCTGTGTGTCTATCTGTTGTCCGTTTATCCATCCATCCATCATCTATCTATCTATCTATCTGTGTATATGTCTATCTATCATCTATCTGTCAACACACACAACTGCACACTTCTCCAAACAGAAAGTTACAAGTCTGCAATC